TTCAAAAAGTAATTGGGGCTGAGTGTGTTGGCATATAGCTGTAATTAGGCAGGAAGATCACTCAAAGTTCTAGGCCAGCGGGCTGGTAGCCTGGGCCTGGACTATACAGAGAACCTGTGCCTGTCTCAGAAAAGACCCTTTCCTCCCCCAAAAAACATAAAAAAAATAAAATAGTAGTTTTACAGAAATTCTGAGGCATGTGCAATGAGAAATATGCAATGCAACCGAAACAAACCAAAAAAAGCACTAAAACAAAAAAAAAAGAAAGAAAAGAAAATCCCCTCCCATTAAAACACATGCCAACCCAGTACCTTGGCCTATGCTAGCAATCACAGCTACTTTTTTTCATAATTTTATTGAGAAACAAATAGCAATGAGACAGTTTCAAATCAAACTGGTAGGACAGTTTCAATAATTAACACATTGCATACATTCTTCCTAGTGGTTAACTGCTGTACAAGATGTGGACATGATGTTCTATTTACAAACAACATTAGAACAAATCCCTCTGTTCATTAAGAGAATGTAACTATATATCTATCCTAACCACTTTGAATACACAGATACAAAATGGACATTCATCTGTATCCCCTTTTTTGATTAAGTTCCATTATTTGAATATTATAGGTGTGTTAACTCAGCAAAATATTCTAAAAGAGTCCAGTAATCCATAATAGTATTGGGTCTTCCACTTGACTGGCAATGTCAGAAATTGTTGACCTGAGTCCCCTATAGCTCAACATAACAGCATGGCTTTACTTCTTATATTTCGTTTTTATACTTTCCTGCTGGATGTTTAAGACCGAGGTAAAGCAGGACCTATGCAACAAGAGTTGTAGCTTTTGGGTCTGATAAGGTCAGTGAAATCCCCTCAGGTTTTATCCTGAGATCTTGTACCTCAGATTGTAGAACCTTTGTCAGTGTCAGCCATGTGGATGAGTCACGGCCATTGCTTGGCCAGTGTACTCTCTGTGAAAGTCTGAGAGGATGTTTTCTCTCCATGTGACTCTCCTTAGGCACACTCTACATCATCGATCACTTTCCTCTTTGGCCCCATAATCTCCTTGATCAGAAAATTTGGTACACTACCAAGTTACATGATGTAACAGTACAAGTTCTCATATGTCCTGAGTCTTAATTGACCTTGGAAGGCTAGGGCCAAAAAGTTGGCTTTCCTTGTAGCCCTCCTTTTTCTCTAATTTGGTCTGCAAACTTAGGTTGTTAGCCATCCAGAAGACAAGCTTATTGTTATTACCATACAACTTAGGTTGTTAAGCTTAACCTCACTATCTGTCTGAATATCAAACATCTTAGGCATAATAAGGAACAGGTATTTTCATCAAGTATTGATATGTTGAACTTTAAATCCCTATAGAATATGATAAAAAAAATTTAAAAGTTAGAATATATTTTAAAAATAGGCATAAAGAATTATATACTTCTTATGTATACACATAAGTCCAAAAAACTAACTATATACAACCTTGAAGCAGGACAGTCCCACAATAATTCACAGCTATTTTGGAGGTGCAGCAGGAATATCACCAGTTCAAGGCCACCCTGCAAAATGTAGTGAGACCCTGTCTCCAAAATCCCAGAATGACTCAGGTGTGGTGGTGCAAAACCCAGTTCATGCACCTATAATATTTAAATGACAGTGGAATGCCCTTCTCTGACAAAACTAAACAAAAAAGGGGAACACAAATGAACGATCATTTGGTATCTGTATATTCAAAATAGTTAGGATAGATATAGAGTTGCATTCTCTTAATTCAATGAATACAGAGATTTGTTCTAATAGTGTCTCTGGACAGGATACCATGGCTGCATCTTGTACAATAAATAACCACTAAGACCAAAATGCAGTGTATTAATTATTGAAACTGTGCTCATAATCAGTTGTGAAACTGTCCCATTGCTATTTGTTTCTCAATAAAATTATTTTTAAAAAAAGACAGACAGAAAGTATATAGTGTGGTGGCACACATGTGCCACCCCAGCACTCTGGAGGCTGAGCCAGGAGGATAAAGCAAATGTGAGGCCAGCCTGGGCTCTATACCGAATCCAAGATCAGCCTGAACTTCAGAAAGAAAGACAAAAAAAAAAAGAAAAGAAAAGGAGGGGAAAAGAAAG